GAGCTCTGGTCAGATATAAAATACATAAATTTGATCCATCTACGTGTTCATTAAACGTACCTGAATTGGACTCGGCGATGGCCTCCTGTACAGTAGAGCAGCTTAGGTTAGGAAAGGGGGAAGCAGCACAATGAACCACTTAGTTGTGCCGCAGTGCAAGGAGCATGCCGATAGCAGGAAAAAGCACAGACGGAGGAGCTTATTAGTCTGCTGCTTCTCCTTTTACTGTCTGGTCACAGGTTGGAGGAAGGACATGACTTGCAGAAATTTTAATAAACTGTAGAAAATGTCATGTCTCCTGCCCTGCCAGACCGGGGTGGATGGACAGAAACAATTTTTGGAGGGTAAAACAGCTCCCACATACAGCGCAGTGGTTAGCGTTTCTGCTTTGCAGCACTGGGGGACCCCTGGATCCAATCCAGGCCGGGTCACTATCGGCAAGGAGTTTGCATGTTCTCCCTGTGCTGTGTGGGTTTCCTCCCACACTCCAAAGACATGCTGGTAGGTTAATTGGCTCCGGTCTAAAATCAGCCCTGCATACATGTGAGATAGGGACCTTAGCTTGTAAGTTCCTTGAGGGTAGGGACTGATGTGAATGTGCAACTATGTAAAAGTGCTGCGTGAATTGTCAGTGCTATATACCGTATTTTCCGCTCCATAAGACGCACCTAGGGAGTGTAGGGTTCTGTGTAGTTCCTGACAGCTGAGACAGGTGGCGCTGTGATTACAGCACCACGGTCTCACTGATCACATAGAACAGACGTTCTTCGTCTGCTCTACGGTGAGCTCCTATGCCGTGGTCACGGGTCCCCCAGAGGAGCGGGGGGATGGGGCGGGCAGGATACTATACATTCAGCTCTGCTTGTCCGAAGCCGGGCTAAATGTACAAAAAAAAACACTTGCCCGGCGCCCGAAACGGCATGTCCCGGGCGTCGGGCAATAGGAATTCCCCACCCCTGGGTACACATTCGCTCCATAAGACGCACAGACATTTTTGCCCGCCTTTTTTGGGGGGGGGGGGGGGCGTCTTATGGAGCGCAAAATACGGTACATAAATATACGCATTTCATCTCTGCATTTAGCCATTTTCCTGCTGTCTAGCTATAATAAAGGCATGGGGGCCGTTACCGCTGGAATCAGAAGTCTGTATATGTACACTACTGGATTAGGTATCCTAGGCACAGACGCTAGAGAGTCAGGGCAACAGCCATGCAAACAGCATTTGCAGAATGAGCAGTTCCGGGTTACTCTCTTACCTCTCCCTGGCTGATGTCATCCATAGTGCCTTTAGACAGGGGGAGCTTTATATCTTGCATTTTGCAGGCTTGCAGCAAATTGTGCCGATCACTCCTCTTCTGCTCGGATTTGGTCTCAATGGCCGTGACTTCCTTTTGTAGATGTGTCATTTCTCTGTAGGAAACCAAAACATGTAACATTTTCCTTGTCCAACACCCTCAACAATGAGGAAAACGGCAAAAAATAAATGAATTAAAAATCTCTCTCTCTCTATTAGCCCTCATTCACACTGGAATCAGCCGGCATGTACAGCAAATATTTCACATAATTTGCGGATTGTCCCACAGCTCTCCTCCCCGCACCTGACTTGGCCCTGTCACTGCTTTCCCCTCCCTGCTGGGCACCAGTCAGGTGGATCGCCTCTGTGTCACCTCTGATCCCTGCTGCCTCTGCTAAAACAGGGGGAGGGAGAG